TGTTACTTGATAACATTAATTCTGTATTGATTTAGCCATACGATGCTAATTATTTGGCAGAAAATCTGATCAAACATGTTTTTTCATGAATATTTACGAAAAGTGCAAAAAGAGTATGTAGAGGAACCAGATTACCGTGTCAAGCAGCGTTGCTTGAATGGTCATGCTCCTTTGCCGGAAGGTATTTGTACAAACTGTCAACCGAGTGCAGTGATATTACAACAAGTAAGAGAACAATCAACATTAACTGCATTCCTCTTATTGAGATGAGGATGACAAGAAAAAGAAAATTGAATGATTTTATAACTTTTGTAGCAATTTCATATAGTTGATCATATTGAATTTTCGATGACTTCATTAATTTTTAGTGATTTACGGTTTGGATATTTATATGGACGGTGTGAGCCTTACCCTGATGTTCTATTAAGCATAAAAACAGTTGTGGAGGTGATTTATTATTCAAAGTGAAATTATGAATAGACCAATATAATGTTTGCTAATTCTAATTGATATTAAAAATATTACAATTCGAATAATCATGAGGTCGGAATTAGAGATGGCGCAGCAAGTATGTGATACTTATTTGTCACCTGTTGCAACTCATTGCAACTCCAAAATTTTATAAGCTGCAACTAGTTGCAACTAGGTGATGCTTTATTTGTCACTACATTGAGTCAGAATGATATACACTGATATTATGAATGCAGGTCAAGAAAAATAATTTGCAAGCGACACATTTTCTTTCTTCTCAAGAATGCTATTTTTCTGTTATGCAATGCAAACTAAAAATCTCAATGTCACAAAATTGAGCATCTCTGGAAAATTCTCAAGTAAATTCATAACGGAAAATGAGAATGATGAGGTTAATGTGAATGTATATCAGGTTTCTAGTACCTGTAAGATAATAATAGCTGCTGATATTATATTTCTAAAGTATTTTACAAGTACAAAAATGAATAAGGTGTGAATATATAAAGAGCGCAAAGCCTTGTTTCTGATTAAATATTTGCTATTAAATATAAGTAAGCTCTTATGCAATATTTTTTTTATGAAATTACATATTAATTTTGATATCTCTCAAATAGGTCACGTATAATTTCTTATTAAACCAAACATCTCTTTCATGTTTCTCAATTAAAAATTATCTGGATATTGAAGTATAAGATCTCAAAACACAACTAAAGGTGATGCTCATCTAGTAATCCTGTAAAAAAAAATAAAAGACAAAAATCAAGAAAAAATCCAGTTTTTTAGTTCTGAAAAATCACAAGTTTTGTTAACAAATTTCCGGATTAAAATCTAATAAAAATCTGATTAAAAATCCAGAAACTTTGGAACTCGATATCTCGTGAACCATGAATCCAATCTGGACGAAAATATCACCATTCGATTCGTCTAGTCTTGGTGAATCAAATGGTGATATTTTCATCCAGATTGGATTTGTGGTTCGCGAGATATCGTGTTCCAAAGTTTCTGGATCAATTTTTATTTAAATTAAAATAAATGCATTATTTCCAAACACACTATCATTAAATTCACCTAGTTTTGGTGAATTTAATGATAGTAATTTTTACAAATATAGTTAAAAAAATTCATATTTTAATTTGGAACACTTAATTTGAAGCATGATATATTATGACCCACCAGATCAAATTTCACCAAAATTCAGCACTACTCCACTAAATCTCAGTAAATATGTGACTTTATTTTTACTCAATTTGGTTAAGTGAGTGATAAGATATTAATTCATTTTTAAAAAAACAGGGAAAATAAAAAAATATCCAGTAAGTTTGGAATGTGATATCTAGTGAACCACGAATCCAATCCAAACAAAAATAGCACTATTCGATTCGTCTAGTCTTGGTGAATCGAATGGTGATATATTCGTCTGGATTGAATCTGTGGTTCGTGAGATATTGCGTCCCAAAGTTACTGGATATTTTTTTATTTTCCTCATTTTTTTCATTTTTAAGTAGATTTTTATCAGATTTTAATCCAGAAATTTGTTAACATAACTCGTGATTTTCCGGAACTAAAAAACTGGATTTTTGTCTTTTATTTTTTTTTACAGGGGAAAAAAGCCTCATTCCTTGTAACTTAATCCACTATAATAATTGCATACAATCAGAACAAGTTGTCACTGATCAATCATCTTCAAAAATTGATAAAGGCAAAGCATCATTATATCCCATAATTAAAGAAGAAAAACTGGTCAATGCATAACAGAAACTAAAAAATTATTCGAAGAAATCAAAATTGAATCACTTATACCTCTTGATATTTTTAACTTACAAAGTACACTCAACAAAATTTATCGACTTTGCAAAGAAATCCAAAATAAAATTGACCAAATGAAAATTAGTGAAATCTCAGAAGATGAAGAAAGCATTTATGAATCTTGTGAAGAAATTTCTAATGAATATCATCCAGATGATATAATGACTATACCTGCTGAAGAAAATGAAATAAAAGACACACTCCTTGCCATCAAAGTTTACAATAATAAGAATAAAGATCAGATACCAGAACGTACTGTTACAAGTTTGTTTACTAATCGTTAAATTAGCTTACAAACGAGAACCTGGGTTGGGAGAATATATTGTTACAAGTTTGTTCACTAATCGTTAAATTAGCTTACAAACAAGAACCTGGGTTGGGAGAGGATATAA